CGTCCTGCTGCCGCTGCCGCCGCGGCCCTTCACCGCCCGGGCAGACGCGCCCCTTCCCCATCCTCCTGCTGCCGCTGCCGCCGAGCTCTCCACCACCCGGCCCCATCTCGGCCCGGGCAGCCGCGGCCCTTCGCTGCCCGGCCCCACCTTGGCCCGGGCAGCCGCGCCCCTTCCCCATCCTCCTGCTGCCGCTGCCGCCAAGCTCTCCACCGCCCGGCCCCACCTTTAAGTTTTTTTCCTGAAATTTCCCTCTTAAAATGAGGGTGCGTGTTATACGCCTGTGCGTGTTATACGCCAATAAATTCAGTAATTGGCCATTGGTAAAGTTGTATGCTTTACTAATAAATAATAGGCTTGAGGAGGCTTGTTAGCCTCTATTTATACCGTAAATTCAGAAGAAAGATTAATTTGGGATCCAGATTATGTGAATTTAACAACTGTATCCAGGTAAGAAGAAATATTAATTCTTAATTTGAAAAGTTTGAATGATAGTGGACCTGCTTACCTCCTCCTTGCACAACTGCAACCATGAATTATTTCCAAATACTATTAAATACCAGTCAATATTGATGATTATTTGATATTATTATTATTATTATTATTATTATTATTATTATTATTATTATTATTATTATTATTATTATTAATTATTATTATTATTATTTGAATTTATATACCGCCCTATCTCCCTTACGGGACTCAGGTGGTGAACAGAAGATAATAAAAACCACGATAAATATACGCAAATTTCTGTTCTAAAATCAAATTAAATAACAGGCCTGCTCTAAAAATACCCCATACAAAAACCCCACTAAAACATAATCAAACTACGCCAGGCCGGCCGCACGGAATAGATGTGCCTTCAGGGCTCGGTGAAAAAGGCGCAGGTCCGCAACTGTACGTAGGTCGGGGGGTAGGTCATTCCAGAGGGCAGGAGCTGCCACAGAGAAGGCTCTCCCCCTGGGGGTCGCCAGCCGGCATTGTCTGGCCGACGGCACTCTAAGGAGGCCCTCTCTGTGGGAGCGGACTGGTCGAAGGGATGTGTTTGGTAGGAGGCGGTCTTGCAAATACCTAGGTCCATTACCATGGAGCGCTTTAAAGGTTGTTACTAACACCTTGAAGTGCACCCGGAAGGCCACAGGCAGCCAGTGCAGCTCGCGCAGGAGAGGTGTTACATGGGAGTATCTAGAGGCCCCAGGATCCCCCACGCGGCCGCATATTTTGTTGATTTAGGTTAGAAAACTCTCCCATCCTTTAGTGCAGGGGTGTCAAACTCAATTTCATTGAGGGCCGCATCAGCATTGCAGTTGCCCTCGGGTGGGGGGCGGGTGTGTGTGGCCAGGGTGGGTGCGGCCTACTGGGTGGGCGTGAATGGAGTGGGTGTGGCCTACTGGGTGGGCATGGCCAGCTCTACATTGTTTGCATCAAGGGTGCCTGTGGGGGCCTGGGCGGGAGTGGGATAGATCTGAGGGTCTCTACAGAAGGGGGTTGGACCAGGTCTTGGCGCTGTGATTAGAACACCCCGCTGCCTGCCAAAACCAGGCAGGCTGGGAGCTGGGCAGCCTCATGCTTTTTTTTGGATTCATGACACCCGCCTCAGCCTCTCGGCACTGTGAGGAGAGTGCCCCACTGCCTGCCGAAACCCCTCCCCCGGAGCCCATCAAGCCGGATATGTGAAGTAGGCGAGGGCCATTTGCTGACCACTTCCACGCGATGGTGCATTTCTTCATTCCTCACAAAGGGTGACACCTCCCCAGGGGACAGGGCCGACGCGACAGGGGCTGGTTCCTTGCTGTTTCCAGAGGGCCTTGTGGAGCTAAGACTGAATGCATTTCAGCATAGATGTCCACCACAAAATTGTACATTGGCTCCCGGCTGGCTTGGGCCAGGGCCAAGGCAGCGGGGGCCGTTCCCTCACTGTTTCCAGGATGGCTTCACGGGCCACATGAAACCACTTCACGGGCCACATCTGGCCCCCGGGCCTTGTGTTTGACATGTCTGCTTTAGTATCTGACTGAAGGTTCTTAACTTCTTACTGCAAAAGATGCAGATTTTTGAAAAACAATGGTCAATTATCCCTTACCATAAGCTGTTTCTTATCCTTCCTCATACAATATCTTACCCAAATGTATGAGGAAGGCTGTGCATCAACTCTGGTGGAATCCCAAATGCACAATCAAATCTGCCTTATTGGAAAAAATCCACAAGATGTTAGAATCAAAGCAAACCTACATATAAATTCTCATGTATTTTAGCCATTCAAAATAACACAAGACATCTCCCCATAAAAATAGGCGTCTTTCTCCCCAAACACCCTGTGTTAGAATACGGATCTCACTTGCAGGGGATGGGGTAGGGGCAAATCTACATGTTCGGACATATCAGAATTTAATCAGAATTATATAATCAGAATTTAATTTTTGATCAAGTGAGCAGAAGCACGAGTGAGACAGTAACCCTTTAATGGCTTCAACAAATTATGTTATGTTCTAAGTGTTTAGAAACAAGGTGTAGCTGCTGCACTTTGATTTCATTTTTTTCACAACTAATAAGAC